CTGGCGGAAATCCAATACAGCTCACCATCCAAATAACAGCATTCCTCCAGTAAAGCACAGAGGTGGTAATATCCTGTTATTATTTGGGGGAGTATATTTTCTCTGCAGCAGGGACTGGAGCACTTGTCAGGACAGAAGGAAAAATATAAGGGGCAAAATACCGTCAAATTCTTGAGGACAATTTGCTGCCCTCTGCCAGAAAGATGTCAAGAGAATGGTAAGAAGGTTTACCTTCCAACATGACAATGACCCAAAGCACACAGCAAAACTGAGCACACAGTGGTTGAAGGAGAAAAAGGTGAATGTTCTTGCATGGCCTAGTCAGAGCCCAGACTTAAACCCCACTGAAAATCTGTGGAATGACTGCAGTCCACAAATGGTCACCATCAAATTTAACTGAACTTGAAGAGTTCTGCTCAAGTCTAGATGTGCAAAGTTAGTAGAGACAAATCCCAACAGACTAAAGGCTGTAATTAAAGTAAAAGGTGGTTCAACAAAATACTGACACAAGGGGGTGATCTGAGTAAATACAGCTGGATAAAACAAAAAATGTGTCCATCTTTATTTCAGGCTGCAAAGCAACAAGATGTGATTATTTTAAAGGTGGTGATTCTTTTCCCACTGTACGTCCCTTTGTAGAGCAGAAAATCTCACCGTCAACAGAAGAATTTTTCATCCTGTTTAAAAAATTTATTTGCTCTCTTTGTTTCTGTCTTACTCTGTTCCTCACACAGAAGAAGATGAGGGCTATTGATTAAGCCTGCTTTAATTTAATGTATCTGTCAGTTTTAACTGAAAAAAAGGATGAATGAATGTGTAATGAAGTCAGTGGGTGGTAAAAGCGGGAACACTGAGATACTATAGCCACAATAATATTCTGTTGTTCTTGACACAGGGGCTTTTGACCTCTCGCTTATCAATATATATACACACATAAACAGTCTGTGAGTACTGTTGAGTTAGGTGGTCTGGCAATATATGCCCTCCCCTGTACCATGTTGCTGAATGATTATATATACATATAATTCATATATCATATTTACACTAGTGTTCAAAAGTTTGGGCTCAGTGAGACTTTTATTCAGCAAATATGAGTTAATTTGATCACAAATGACAATAAAGACTTTTATAATGTTACAAAGTATTTCTATTTCAAAGCATATTAAAATGATTTCTATAGGATCATGTGACACTGAAGACTGCAGTATAGGTTGCTGAAAATTCAATGTTGCCTTGATAGGAATCAATTACATTTAAAAATATATTAAAACAGAAAACAGTTATTTTGAATTGTAGTAATATTTCACAATATTAATGTTTTTACTGTATTTTTTATCCAAAAAAGGCAGCCTGTCTGAGAATAAGAGGCTTATTTAAAAGCATTAAAAATCTTATTGACTCCACACTTTGAACGGTAGTGTACATGCTACTCCAAGGTACTTCAGATAATACAATGGCACATGTACCACAAAATACTACTGGTATTATCATGGTACTGTATTTTTGTGTATTTTTGTAAGTGATTTCTGAGATTTCTGTGCAGGATTGGCTGAACAGTTTCAGTGTGCTTGCTAAACTATTGTGCAGTTCTTATTATAGCTCAAGGTTGTTGTTTGAGGAGAGCAACGCTGTAATATCTCTCTATGGGAGTAAGATGTTCTCACTTTGTTCATTAATTATGAAGCAATTATTCTGAATCCTGTACTTAAAGTTTACACCCTCAGTGGCATTTACATTGGCGCTACAAAACATCATTAATAATGCATGAAATGATGATGTATTTTGGGTGTGTGCTTGTTTACTGTATGTCAGTGTTATACAAATCCTGGCGGGAATTACAGATGAATACACACAAGTTCATTCAAATTAAATTCTTGTTGTTTAGAGTCATAGTTTCACAGCGCGTGTGCATGTGTTCAAGTAATTAAAATAAAAATTATGTAAGTGTGTTTAAAAAAATAGCACTGTGTCACTCTATTTTCCTCTCTCTACAGGAAAACAATCGAGGTGAAGATTATAGATGATGAAGAATATGAAAAGAACAAGACCTTCAGCATTGAGTTAGGAGAGCCAGTGCTACTAGAGATTGGACAGAAACATGGTAAATTGTGTAAAATATGTGTGTTTTCAAACATCTGAATGTTAGAGTTCTGCAGTAATTAGAGCTGAATTTAAATGAATTTAAAATTTCAATTCATTTTCTGAACTTGAATTGATTGTTAATGTTGCAGAATTATAATTTAAATTTGAATTTTAATAGGATTAAGATGGAATGAACATCACTTAATTTAGAAAGATAGTTGAGGGAGAAGCAGACAGAGGGTGAACACAGGGTTTGAGCAGTGAGACATGGAAGGTTGGTGCGATAGTGAGGAGGAAGTTCAAGCCTGTATGTGACCTCGTTGATCTGCCTCCGGATGGTGAATGGTCCGATATAGCGGGGACTCAGCTTGCGGCAAGGCAGTCGGAGACGAATGTCCCGCGTGGATAACCACACCTTATCTCCCGGCTGGTATTGTGGAGTAGGTCTGTGGTGAACATCTGCTTGAGCTTGGTGTCTCCGAACTGCCTGCTGGAGATGGACATGCGCGGAGTCCCAGACCCTCTCGCTCTCTCTGAACCAGTGATCCACCACTGGAACGTCCGAGGGTTCTCCCGTCCACGTGAATAGGGGAGGTTGGTAACAGAGTAAGCACTGAAACGGGGTGAGGCCGGTGGTTTGCTGCCTGAGGGAGTTTTGTGCGTACTCGGCCCAGGGAAGGTAAAGGCTCCAGCGGTTATGGTTGTTGTGGCATATCCGGAGATGAGGCTTACTGATACGCCGAGGAGATGGAAGAAGGCCCTCCAGACCCGGGAGATGAACTGGGGCCCACGATCGGAGATGATGTCCTCCGGGATGCCGAAATTGCGAAAGACTTGGTGGAATAACTGTGTTGCGGTTTCCATGGCAGTGGGTAATTTTCTGAGGGGGAGAAATTTACATCCTTTCGAGAATCGGTCGACAACTACGAGGATGCATGTGTAAGATTTGGACTCGGGGAGATTGGTGACGAAGTCGACTCCGATGTGGGACCAGGGCCGGTGAGGTATGGGAAGTAATGGCCTGACTGTTACTCTCCCACATGGACTGAGCCCAGTGAAGAGCGCGGCCGACGAGATGAGAGATCATGAAGGCAACTTTGGCGCGGTCATTGGGAAAGGCGTGTGACTGCATCTCGAAGTATAGGGAACATTGTAACAAAAAGCCACCACAATACGCCGCCTCACCAGAGAAGATAGCGGGCCGTGCCATGGGACTGTGGGAGGCAGACACAACGGGCGTACGGATGGCTTGGATTAAATCCTCCAGTGAAGTGGGGTTCTGTGGTTGTGGCTCCATGGAGGGTTTGACAAAGTGTAACTGCAGTGACGGAGTATTTGAGCTAGTGTTGATGAGGTGGTGACAGGTGTGGCTGATTAGTACTCCGGTGATTGTGAACGGGTGTGTGAGGTGATTGGGCCTGACGAGGCTGGACTATCCCTGACAGCCATATAGATATTTTAATATCTCTTTTTTTCCCATCCATTTTTTGTCCAGGCAATCATTATTTCAAGCTTTAAATGGTTTAATCCAAGTCTTCTAAAAAGACAAGTTTGCTTTATATGATGAACAGATTTTAATATAGGCTTTTATTTACATACATATAAACATTGATCAATTACCATTACAAAAATCTCAATCTTAAACATTTGCTCATTCTGTGTATTTGTGTCTTTAAAATAGGGTAACTTTGTTGCAAAAGCTCACAGCAAAAGGAAGCATGATTTAAAATTTGATTTCAAACTCAATTTAATTTACAAAAAAAGACAAGCGCACAGTCAGTAATAAAATACAAATTATAAAACAAATGACCTCAATTCAGTTGAGGTGTTCAAAATATGACACCACTGAATTTTTATAGGCAGTGTTTTAAGAGCCATATATGCCGTTGGATAAATGGAACATCAGATGGCTTTGACCTGTAATATCTGTACAATGTAGTGATGCAGTTAGACAGACTAGGATATTTATGTGCAAATCATACAAATATCCCATTGAAAAACATTTCTAGCATACTTACATTGTAAAGAAATTAAAGTTCCATTTTTGATAGTTGAAAGACTTTCTGGTGCATTTCACTTACAGCCAATAAAATTTCCAGTAGCATTCTCATCGGTCAGGCGTGGATCTATTCTGAATGGTTGAAAACTTTTCACAAAGTTTAATCCAGGAGCAAAGATGAATAATTTCTAGCACGGAGAGATCGCGATTGCACACAGTCTGAGTGCGCACAAGCAATATTGGAGTGAGAGGACAGGCAGTAGTTCATTTGTATAAGTTAGGCCTATTTGAGAGCTCGCGTCCAATTTTCTGCGATTACTGTGTTCTCATGTTACAATAAAGTGGCACATTTGCGCAGGAATGATTAAAATTATGCGGAATACCCCTGTGTGTATGTGTATATATATATATATATATATATATATATAGTGGCAATACCCATAAACAAAGAATAACCAAATTAGTGTTTAATATAGGTAAAGTTGGTGTGTGGACAACATTTGTGTGTGTGGATCTTCAATTTACTGTCCATTAAATCTCAGGATGTCACACCTTTGCTATTCGGATATATAGAAATAAAAGATTGTTTGCTAATTAGCCATTGGAGTACACCAAACGGAAGCAGCTGAATGTCTCCTGTTTTATTTACACCAGGAGCCGTGTTTTTGTGCCACTTTTTGCTTCACATTTTCAGATAATATCTAAAAATTGAAGCTTGCAAATGAGCAGTGCAGACGAAGCTGCAAATAAAACGATTGTGGAGGTCATTTAATGAGGACAACATGAACAAAGTGATGAAAGATGAAAGGTTACAGATAAAAGAAAGGAAAAAAGGCTAAATTAAAATACAGAAGTGAATGAATTGAGCGTTCAGGATGAGCAGCTGTTACATAATGCTCTTTTCAGCTTTAAGAAATATTTTTAATGGAGTAAAAATAATTTCTTTCTCTCCCTCTTAGCATGCATCATTTCAAATCCCCTGGCTTAGTAAATAATGTGTACTGTAGGAAATATGCTTACAGTAAAGGATTAAAGACTTATACCTGCAGGCTTTGAAGTTTGTTACCTGAGGAAATAATTGGCTGTCTCTGTATCACCTTGTGTTAGCAGTGTGACTGGAGGCTCTCCCTATTCTCTACATTATTTATACAGCCTTCTCTGGCAATGACCCTTCCATCTAAAATGCCTTACTTTACAATTCAATTAGCACAATGGCACTCATAAGATTTATGAAATTTCCTGCTTGTCAGTTTCAGAAATTGCAAAGTGTATTATACCATCCAGCCATCAATCCCTGTTATTCCTGCTCATTTTTATTAGCGCTGATCATTTTCATGAGGCTTAATATCCACATTGTACTAGCTGGACAAATAAAGGGGATATGTTTCTAATAAGTTTTTCTTTGTCATGTTTGTGTATGTTTAGGAGACTCTAATGAGAATAAGCCAGAGGAAGAGGAAGTAGCTAAAATGGGATGTCCTAGTCTGGGAGAACATACCAGATTGGATGTGGTGATTGAAGAGTCTTACGAATTTAAGGTAACACTGCCTCTAAAACCTTTAAGTGATGCAATAATGAAACAAGATGAATTTCAAATCTTTTTTAGTAATGCATACTGATTAATGTGTAATATTTAAGCTGTATCACCACAGTAATGCTAATATATCAGTATTATTGTGAGTGTATGTAACAGTTCAATAAATATAATATGTAAATAGAAATATTTTCACCAACAAAAATAGTTCCAAGCAAAGCCAAAGCATCCAGCTGTGCAACACACAGACTGAAAGCTGGTCTGGAACAGTTCTTGATACGTGGCTGCAACTGTGTGTGTGTGTGTGTGTGTGTGTGTGTAGAGTACAGTGGATAAGCTCATTAAGAAGACTAACCTGGCTCTGGTAGTCGGCAGCAGTAGCTGGAGAGAGCAGTTTGTTAGTGCTGTGACTGTGAGTGCAGGTATGATACTTCCTGTTTGTTCACCCTTTACAGTTTGTACATGGGCATTATCATTCATCACTGAGACGCTTGTACAACTGTGAATATGTATTAATGCCTTTTCAACTTATGAAAAAATAGGTTCTTGATTTATACATCTACTGTGTATGGTTAACAATATAAACTAAAGTTCAAAAGTTTGGGGTCAGTATGATCGTTTTTTGTTTTTGTTTTTTGTTTTCCTGTTTGCTTGCTTCTTGATATTTACATAAGTCACATTGTCTAGTCAAATGTTACTGTTCAAAAGTTTGGGGTCAGTATGATCGTTTTTTGTTTTTGTTTTTTTGTTTTCGAGAGAGAAATTAGTACTTTTATTCAGCAAGGACACATGATCAAATTGATCAAAAGTTATATTTATAATGTTACAAAATATTTCTATTTCAAATAAACTCTGTTCTTTTGAACTTTTTATTCTTCAGAGAATGCTGAAAAAATATCACGTTTTCCCACCAATATATTAAGCAGGACAACTATTTTCAAAATTGGTAATAATAAGAAATGTTTTTTTGTGCACCAAATCAGCATATGAAAATTATTTCATGGCTGCTGAATTCAGCTTTGCCATCACAGGGATAAATTCCATTTTAAATTAAAACTAAAAAAATATTTTAAAATATTACAGTTCATACTGTATCAGTATGATACAATGTCAAAAGACACTTCCTTCAAAACATTAAAAAATCCAACTGAACCCTAAAGTTTTGAACGTTAGACTATGTTGTGCTGTATCTGTTTGAATCTCTATGAAAATATCAAGCGTATTTACCTTAATGTTCTTTTATGAGTCAAAAGGTGATTTTGCACAGCTGAGTTAAGACTGCTTTGTTCCTGCTCAAAATTTAGTGTAAAGGTGCAATGCCGCATAAAAGCCAGACTACTGCTCAGACCCACCTCAGCCCCTTGTATCAAAGCATACAGTTGTAATTACTGTGGAAATGCATTTATGCCACCTCTGAGCAGCATTAAATTCTTGACGGCGGTCACAGGCGATCTTGCCTCCCACTTTGGGTGCACTATTGGCCTGAAGGATTCAGTCACCGCCGTGGTCTTTGTTGCCCTGGGGACGTCTATCCCAGGTTAGTCAAGTCAAGTCATCTTTATTTACAATATATATCGCTTTATACAATACAGATTGTTTCAAAACTGCCTTGCGGTGATAAACAAGAAAATAATGATTTGATGATGCAAACAAAATTCAATTCTGCTGTAAAACAGCTCTAAAAAGACAGTAGTAAACAGTCTTTATTCAGCTGAAATTAGTTCAGTGTTGATTCAGTTCAGTTCAGTGTCCAAGAAAAATGTGCCCAAATTCAATTGCTTGTTACCAAGTTTCAAATAATACAAAGAAATGGCATCTGGCTTCCACATACAAATCCAAGCTGCAGTATGTGTTTGGTTGAGTGGTATTGACTTGTTGCTATGTGGGTTCTAGGATGTTCTGGGTCACTGAGCCCGCGTTTTGCAAATCTTCCCACATCGTGACGTAGGTATGTGGGGGCGTGTTAGAACGAGCCGTTTTAGGTAGGCGTGGTTAACTCTTAACTTTTATAAAGAATATCTCTTTGGATTTGAGACTTTAGTCTTTGCAACTTTACAGATCTTCTTTATGCACCAAGAGCTTGTAACACTCCAAAGAGAAAGGAAAAATTTTAATCGCATCATATGACCCCTTTAAAAAACATTTTGGATAATTGAAATAAAATATAAATATTAGATGGAAAAACTTAAACTAAATATAAACCTAAACAACAAAAAAAGCTGCCTTAGTTGGTAACTAAATTAAATAAATAAGGTTAAAGGGATAGTTCACCCAAAAATGAAAATTCTGTCATTAATTACTCACCCTCATGTTGTTCCAAACTTGTAAGACCTTCATTCATATTTGGTACACAAACATTCCAGGCCCAGAAACTTAGCAAGGACATTGTTAAAATAGTCTATGTGACATCAGTGGTTCAACCTTAATTTTATGAAGCTATGAGAATACTTTTTGTGCGCAAAGTGCACATGCGTCGTGATACTCTCATGAATGTGTGTCGAAGACTGACACAGAAGAGAAGAACTGTTGAATAAAGTTGTTATTTTTGTTTACTTTGCACATAGTAGTTGCATTGCTGTCTATACAGGGTCAGAAGGCTCTCGGATTTCATCAAAATATCTTAATTTATGTTCCGAAGATGAACGAAGGTCTTATGAGTTTGGAACGACATGAGGGCGAGTAATTAATGTCAGAATTTTCTTTTTTGGGTGAACTAACCCTTTAACTTGAAGTACTTAAATGACTAAAACTAAAATCAATAAAAATAAAGTTAAATAGAAAAATTTTAATACACAAAGTAAAACTGACAAATAATAAAATAATAAAATTACTAAATCTTAAAGAGCAGGTCATATGGGTTTTTGAAAAATATCTTTTTTTTGCAGTTTGTGTCGTAGCTATCCTTCAATCTAAACAGTCTGCAAAGTTGTTAATCAAAAAAGTGCATGATAAATAAAGATATTGTCTCTCAAAAGAAAGAGTCGACTCTGAACCGCCTTAACGAGTCGTCATATTTTCGAATCTTCCGCCTGTTACCTATATACGTCACAAGGTAACACATTTGCATAATCCCCGCCTGTCCGTGAAATACGAACACTCTCACCTTCCCACAAACACTTCCGCTAGTTACTTAGCTAGTGTGTTTACATCATGTCGAGAAGACGCTGTGTTTTCAGCCTCACTGGACATTCTAACACAGTTCCCACACGTGCACCTCAAATAAGTAAATAATAATAATAATAATGAATGCAATAAAACTGCTGTCACATCACGTAAAGTACCACATACAAAGTTTAAACTTACCACCGAGAAACACCCTGCTCAAGTCGTGCTTGCGATGGAGTTTCCGGTTGAGCGACTGCATCGATATCATCCTTGGACTCGGGCTCGAATTGATAAGGTAATATTGATGCCATTTTTGTAACCTTATAGCATCTAACCCTTCGGAGCAAAAAATAAATTATGGTAATGGGCATTTTGTTTCCGACATGCATTGTATATGGAAAGACCAATCACAACAGACTTGGCCAGCTGACCAATCAGAGCAGAGTACTGTAGGCTTATGGAAGGGAGGGTTTACAGACCTTAAGCTCAGAACTGCTTTGAACGAATCATTTCGAAATCATTGAAAAATTATTCTAATATTAAATGTATATTCTGAGAAAATTACAATGTTTTCTGAGCTTAGATGCATTTAAACCTATTGTAGGGGACTCCAACACAATATTAGGACACTTTAAAATACCATATGACCTGCTCTTTAAAATTAAAACTGAAAATATAAAAATTAAAGCTAATTCAAAATATTACTATAATAGTACATAAATAATACTGAAATAATCTACGTACTGTACATGCCATGCCTGTATAACCTAGCAGACACTTTAGACATAGAGCAGGTGAATGAATTTGGCCATGTATGTTTTAGTGCGGCTGGTTATTAGAGCAGAAGGGCATTGATGTGTGGCTTATCTCATCTTCAGGTCATGTGTTTGCAGCTGGTGTATATGTGTTTGTATGTGTCTGTTTTTCCCCTTTGATTCTGTTCATTACACTCACCTGAACCCTTTCTCTTTTCTCTCTTCCTCCTTTTTCTTTCTCTTCCTTTTCTCTCAGTTCCTCTTTTGCTTTTGTCTTTTGCTTACCCCTTTCCCTTTTGTTGACCTCCTTTCTGATACTTCCCACTTCTATTACAGTCAAAACCCACTCGGTTTTATTTCATACAATAACAAGCAGGGTTCCCACGCTTTCATGAAAACCAGATTCAAGGACTTTCAAAGACTTTTTAAAGCACCATTTATGTTATATCATGCTCCTATCAAATTCCCACCCCAGCATTTGTAGCATCATGAAAGACCTCTTACCACTTAATATTAATATTTACATGAAAAATTTCAGAGTAATAATGATGTTTTGAATGTGTAGGTTTCATAAATTTAGACCGTTTTGAGCGGTCATGTTAAAAGGAATTTAAAGGGATAGTTCACCCAAAAAATGAAAATTAGCAATTAAAACTCACCCCCGAGGCATCCTAGGTGTATATGACTTTCTTCTTTCAGATGAATCCAATCGGAGTTATATTAAAAATTGTCTTTGATCTTCCAAGCTGTTTAATGGCAGTCAGCGGGTGTTGCAGTTTATCAGTCCAAAAGAAGTGAAATAAAGCACATCCATCCATAATAAAAAGTGTCTCACACAGCTCTGGGGGTTGAACAAAGGCCACCTGTAGCGAATCGATGCGTTTTTGTAAGAAAAATATCCATATTCAAAACGTAATAATCACTTTAATCTAGCCTGCGGCAACAGTTGTACACGGAAGCAGCTCCGGGAGGATGACATAAGATGTCCACCCCCAAACATTAGCGCTGTTTCGTTCTGTCTTTGACAGCACATATAGGACCATTTTTGACATAGCACCATAAACAAAATTGATTTCAAATTTAATTCAAGCACTTTCAAGGACTTATGTTTGTTTTCAAGTACTTTCCAGGCCTTGAATCCATATGTCTGAAATTCAAGTACATTCAAGTACTTTCAAGAAGCGTGGGAACCCTGAACAAGATTTTGCTGTTTAAATCATAATTATATTAGTCTGATCATAATTTTATTTTGTCTCTTTTGCACAGACACTTTTGCCAGTAAGGTCGCTGCCATCCAAGACCAGTATGCAGACGCATCCATTGGTAATGTGACGGGCAGCAATGCTGTCAATGTTTTCCTGGGCATCGGTGTGGCGTGGACCATAGCTGCTGTATACTGGCGTACCAAGGGCAAACCTTTCCACGTTGATCCAGGTTCTCTAGCCTTCTCTGTCACACTCTTCACTGCTTTGGCTGTGGTGTGTGTCAGCGTGCTGTTGTATCGCCGGCGCCCCTCAGTGGCTGGAGGAGAGCTTGGCGGTCCACGGACTTGCAAGATATTGACGTCCTTATTTTTCATCTCCCTCTGGCTGATCTACATCCTGTTGGCCTCACTGGAAGCGTACTGCCACATCACTGGATTCTGAGGCAGCGAGGCCTCATATTCTTTCAGCTTAAAGAGGAATATAAAAAATGGCCAGTGAAGGAACATTTGTTTTGTATTAATTAGATATTTATATTTAACTTTTAAAAGGTCTGATAAGTCCGTTTTTGTAATTTTTCATTTTCTTCCATAAAGGGATAGTTCACACAAAAATAAAAATGATGTCATCATTCACAGCTTTTATGTTGTCCCATAGAACACAAAAAGTTTTTTTTTAAGAAGTTTACTTTTTGAAAACTACACGAAGGTGAGTAAATGATCACAGATTTTTCTTTTTTGTATGAACTGTCCCTTTAAATTAGTTAATGCAGTATCTTACACATCATTTTTTGTTCCCTTGCCTTAGACTTGTATTCGTCTCTTAGTGCTGTCTTAAATCTATCCAAACCAGTAACCAATGACTCATGTTTTTTGTTGGTTTTTTTTACTCCTGTTTGAGCCAATCCGAGCCTTCGGTTACTGAATGAAGGGGTTTATTTGTTTTAACACTTTTTTATGTTAAGTGTCAGTATTATTCTCATGTAACTGTAATGATAATGTTTTAAAATATATTTAAATGAACAGAATGACCAAACATGAACTTTCTATTATTAAGAGCAGACTATTGCTTGTGTAAGAAGAAAAGCATGTCTCAGGACTATATAATAATCGGACAGATGGTCTGAAAAGCATCTCAAGTTCATAATTAATCATATATCATGAATGAATGGTGACATTATTGGGAAGTCAAATAGCAAAAAGGAATAAAATGGAAAATGGACTGAAATAATCCCAAAGAGGACGGAAGAACAATCAGAAAATAATGACAGTGATGGTGCTGCATATCATTAAGAATAATTCTAATTTAAATATGTATATAATGACTGTGTGAGAGAGAAACCACTCAACCAAGAATAAACAGCTCAACTGATGTTCTCTTGAAATAGCAAACCATGTAATTGATACAATTAGCTGTCAAGTCAAGTTTATTTGTACAGCGCTTTTAGTTGAGTATCATCGGCATAACAGTGGAAACTAATCCCGTATTTTTTTATAATATTACCAAGGGGCAACATGTATATTGCAAATAGCAGAGGACCTAGGACAGATCCTTGTGGCACTCCATATTTTGCTGGTGATAATTGAGATGACTCCCCATTTAAATGAACAAGGTGGTAGCGATCGGACAGGTAGGATCTTAACCATCTTAAAGCCTGCCCTTGAATACCTGTATAGTTTTGTAATCGATCTATGAGTATGTCATGATCTATAGTGTCGAACGCAGCACTAAGATCAAGTAAAACTAGCAATGAGATGCAGCCTTGGTCTGACGCAAGAAGCAAGTCGTTTGTAATTTTAACAAGTGCAGTTTCTGTGCTATGGTGGGGCCTGATTTTAGACAATTATCTGTCTGTATCTATCTGTATTTCTCTTGTCTCTTGACGGTCACACTCCTTGACATCAAATGTTCAATAGGTACTAGCCTGTTAATATGATGTGACATTTGACATGGTGGCAAATGCTCTTACTGACTGTGTACCAAACTGTATCTCTTAGTTCACCCAAAAGTTGCAATTCTGACAGCATTTATTTACTCTCATATGATTCCAAACCCATATGACCTGTGGAACATAAAATCAAGCTGAAAAAATGATGACCTCATAATTTTTAGCTGGCTTTCACATCTGCCTTCATCCAATCAACAACTGATGGATAGAAACAAGTCCCCACCCTACATTTTTCCTTTTTCAATAATCCATTAGACTCAGATGTACCTCACAATACAGAAAAAGATGTCAATTTTTTGACACTTTTTATATTTGTTATTCTTCACAAGTGGCCCAAGTATCCAAATGCTTTTCTTCACCTACAGATATATGCAGACAAGTTATGGTTCCTGTCACTAACCAATCCTGCATACTGCTCTTGTGTTATAGAAGGAAAAAAACAGATCATGATAAAAATGATTCTTGAGCATGCACTGTATGTGTGATTGTACTTGTGTTCATGGTGCTAGTATAGCTGTGACTTTGTGACTTGTCTAAAGACGATACACTAATAGAAGAGGTTAATATGATAAGCTAACAGTTCATATGAAGTGCTCTGAGGACGCAGTCACCATGTCATCCTGTATCAGTGTGCGTGTTGCCCTTGGCTGGACTCTGTTCTGTGTCATCTGGTCCTTGTGTGAAGCATTTCTCTAATCTTTCTGTTCATTAGTCTTATGATTATTCCTTCATTAACGGTTTGATTCATTACATTGTTCATTTTTCAGTGTTTTTCATAATGAGTGAATCACCAAGTGCTTTTCTTTTCCTTTTATATAGCAGATTTTATATTTTAATTTCTCACCATGTCTCTTGGGTTGATGCATGAAACATTCTCTTACCCTTGTTAAATGTTTTAGAAGGTATTGTCCTGAAATCTTTTTTTTTAATGTCTTTTATTTTAAAAAATCTGAATTAAACATTACATATTAAATGGCTTATATCTTTTTAAGGAATGGGTGACTTTTATGTGTGCATAAAACTTCAGCAAAAAAAAAAAAAAACATTGTTAGCGACTGCTATGAATGAGTCACTGAATCATTCACTCAAACAATTTACTAACACTGATTCAAATGAAACACTGTTAATGTGTGTTGCTCGCAGACACTGGTGAAGAAACAGACAACTGCTTACACACGAAATCTTTACTTGTCACACAATTTCTGAAACCTGACACTCGAACACCAGAAACACACACCAAATCTGCAAAACCATACACTCATTCTCGGCCTTTGTCTCAGTTTTCAATTTCATAAAACACTTTTTGCAAAACACAACACACAATTCTCTATGTAGCACACAAAAATCTAACAGGAAGTATCTTGATTTCCTTTTTCAAACACAACCAATCAAAATGCCACACTAATTCATCAGTGCCTCACACTAACTCCTCACATGTGCAAACACTCATTGCTTTACTTAACACCAAGCAATCATGGCTTTAGAATAGGTCTATAAATACACATCTGCACATGGTGGATGGATTTATTTTCTTTTGTACTGTGTAATACTGTATTCACAACCACAAATGCTTACAGTAATAAAAAAGTTTGGTTTCAATATTGCTTTCGTGTTTACCGTGAATTTTTCAACATCTCTCTGCCAATTACTTTCAATCTTGAACAGAAATGTACATAGGAGCTCATGAAAGAAGAGCTTTAGGTTTTAAATAACTATGTGTATATGATATATCCAAAAATATAATACAGTTTTTCTGAATTGCTAAAACATTTCTTGAAACCATCACTCATTTTCTCAAAACCTTAAACACAAATCCAAATACTCAAACTAAATTCACGAAACCTCTGACTCTTCCATCAAAATAGTAAGGTGAATATATTGTATAGGCCTACTGTACTGCAAGAATAGTATTGTGCTGAATATTGAATAGTACTTAATGTTTGCACTTGGATACTGCAAAGATACTGCAGTTCAACTGCAAAGGCCAAAAAGGTCAAATAAAACTGTAAATGAATAGCATGTTACAGTACACTCAAATACTGTAAGTTGTGCATGTGTAAACGATGACAACTGTGCTTTAGTTGTGTTTAACTTTTGCTGCTTGTGTTTAGCATTTTGCAGCACAAATGCATCACAGTGTGATAAGTGTTTGTGAATGAGAATGAGTTTTGCAAAAAAGAGTGTATGAGATTTGCAAATAGAGTCTAACTGCCTGAACGTGTTTAAGGTTTAGCAGAAAGAGTGCTTTATTCGACGAATTGGTTTAAGCTAGTGAGAATTTGGTTCAGAGATTGGGGTTTAGTGTTTTAGCAATTCAGAAAAACTGTATTATGGCAAAGGTGTTTGCAACCTAAGACAAATGTTTGGTTTGATCACATCATTAGAAACAAGTGTGAACAATTTTGAATCGTTGTGTGTAAACGATGACAACTGTGCTTTAGTTGTGTTTAACTTTTGCAAATGCATCACAGTGTGATAAGTGTTTGTGAATGAGAATGAGTTTTGCAAAAAAGAGTGTATGAGATTTGCAAATAGAGTCTAACTGCCTGAACGTGTTTAAGGTTTAGCAGAAAGAGTGCTTTATTCGACGAATTGGTTTAAGCTAGTGAGAATTTGGTTCAGAGATTGGGGTTTAGTGTTTTAGCAATTCAGAAAAACTGTATTATGGCAAAGGTGTTTGCAACCTAAGACAAATGTTTGCTTTTGTGATATTTTGAATGCAGTGCTTAATTTTTTTTATTTGAGATTTGAGGCATTTTGCATTTTGTGTGTGCAATTCTTGAATTTGTGTGTAAAGTTTTTTTTAAAAAAGAGGCAAAGTTTTGAATGTGTAAACAGTTGAAAAAAACTGTAATTGCTTGTTCACTGATCTGATACTGTATATGAAAGCAATATCACATTCACACAATCGTGCTGTTGGTCTGAATATCAGCACAGCTGAACCTGTGGAGCTTATTCACTTGTAGACTACAGTCTCTGGGCTCACGGTGTCCCGGGCACCAATATTTATCATTCAGAAAAGATGAATCACTCTGACAGACTACACAAGTGGATACAGCCAAATCACAGCCTGGCTGATTTCTGGAACAACAGCACGATTGTTCATGTGATATTGCTTCGATGAACTTGCTCAGACAAGTTACAAAATAGCAGATTGAATGCATGAGGAGTTACAAGTGCGCAAGAAGAGGGGGACGTATACATATTCTTTTGATAGATGTCAGGCATGACATTGGGGTGCCGGTTCTCCTCTCTCACTCTCATGGACCTGTCCACTGGAAAGAAAGAAAAAAAACGACAGAAGCAGAGCAGAAAGAATGCTCCTGAAGGAAGCAGATGCTCACTGGGGAACAAAACAGAAAAAGGGAGAGAGGAGACAAGCTTTGTGCTTGAAATACAAAAGCAGGAGATAAGAGAGAGAAAGAATGTGAAGCATTCAGAAAATAAATTACACAGACATCTAATTTAAGATTGACTGGCTGCTGTGAGAGAACCTGAATGCGCAGGTTATGTGCCTCAGATATGGAGTGAATTGGATTGTTCAATACATTGTTACATACTGTACATTGGGGTTCGAAAGTCTGAGA